TAATTTATTAATATGCTAACATGATGAAGGGAGACATAATACACACTGGAGATGAACAGAATTCACTCTAAACCTGAATCTTCTCCACTGCAGTATAATTTCATTTGCTAGTAATTGTGAGATACCATTAGAGAATCTACCAAGGAAATTATTGGATGGGACTGTCATGACAAAATACACTATAATTTGAAGAACTGTACTATGTGTGAGTGTTCTTGAATGGTACTTTTATTCTATCAGTTGAAACTATATTTTTTTCTTGCCTAGAAATTTTATGTGTATCATTATTTCCAGGATAAATAATAGGTTTATAATTCTGATAGCACAGACCGTATTAGAAAGATGGTTTGTCTAAGGTTAGAGAGGGAGCTTATTATCAGGTGTGACTCTGCCTGGTCTATTTTAACACCTGTCTCTTCATGGCAACTCTACATATATGCCATCAATCAATATAATTAGTGAAGATAGAGTGTGAAAGTGGGTGATACTTGCCTGTATTCCAGTGCTTTGGGTTGTCATTAGTTTGAGGCCAACCTGCACAATATAGTAAGCTCAAAACCCAAAGCAGGATAAATAAAAATAATAAATGATTATAACCTTAAAAATAAACAAAAGCATACTGAGTTTGTATCAAAAGTTAACTGAAATCATAAAAGGCCTGTACTTAAAACAAGTGAAAGTCATCTTTTAGTAAATGCAGATTATTCTAAATATTGGAAGATTGCAATTGCAATGTGAGTCCAACTAAAATGGTTTAAAATGATTGTCTCCAAAAAGAATAAAAACCTGAAATCTCTATATGGTAAATAGATAAAAGACAGAACAATTCATTTATTCCCTTGTGCTATTTGATGTAATATGTTTTAAAAACATTTTGTATTTTCAACTTAAAAATACTAATCTCAGCCTATTTTTGAAGTATGTTCAGATTTATATTAAAGTACTTCCTTCTCTTTTATCAAACAATATGGACTTCATACAGGGGTAGAAGGAAATATATTTTGCAGAGAGCTAAAACAAACTATAGGAACACATATGCTTACAAGTGGTAATAAAGGCTAGCATTTCTTCAGCCCTGGCTATGTTCAGGGTATATAGAATAACTTATATTTTTACCATGAACTTATAATGCCAGTGCTCAGTATCCTTACCTCACATTTGATGATTGGAGAGAGTACGTAAAACACCCTAGACCAGTGGTTCTCAGCATGTGGGTTGTGACCTCTTTGAGGCTGCATGTCAGATATACTGATTGTAAGATAAATATAAATAAGTATAATAAATAAATATAATTCATAATAGTAGCAAAATTATAGTTATGAAGCAGTAAGGAAATAGTTTTATGGTGGGGGAGGGTCACCACAGCATGAGGACATGTATTAAAGGATTGAAGTATTAGGAAGTTTGAGAACCACTGCCCTAGACCATCTTTGGTCTAGGTAATAAATGTTCCAGTTGAACCTAGGCTTATGTCCTCCGGAACCTAACCTTATGACCTCATGTTGTAAGCTGTAAATCGAGACTCATAGGTAGCTTGTGCTCCTGTGTCCCTGTCATTGTGTTTTCCTACTGCATTGTAAACGTCTCTTCATGTCTGTTTTGCAAACTCACTGTTAGTGCCTCTATAGTAAGGATAATGACTGTCTACATGTCTGTGGCTTTAACATAATGGCACATAGAGGAAAATGAGTAAATGCCTGTTGAATGGCCAGCATTGTCTAAGCCCACTAAAGGCTGATGTACTGACTATCATTATTGGAAACTGCTAAAATGGGGAAGTACCAAATATTTTTTAAGCTCTGTCAGGGCATTCCTTTCTTCAAAGAGGAGACATTTCAGAAAGGCAAGTGAACTGATAACTGTTGTCTGTAGGAATTTGAAAAAGTATTAAAAAGAAGCCAATGGAGATGATTGTGATATGAAATAAAATGTAGTCATGGGAAAGGTAAAGACAAAGAATTCAGAAAGTATAATTTAATTGCACTGTGTGATAGATCATTCTTGCAGAGAAGCAGCCAGAGTTACGTTTATGGTAAGACAAATAAAAGGAATAGTTGGGATATTTCAAGCCTAGGGGGTGGAGAGGAATCTAAAGTTAGAAAATAATTAAGAAAAGAAAGACAACCATTCTACATTAAATATTATTCATTAAAACTAAATTGGGGACCAACTTAGCTTTACCTTTGAAATAAGCAAAACGTTATTAAAATTAGTTTTTTTCAGGGGGTAGGAGGAAAGTGCCTTCATGGGTATCTATAAGGTGGGCAGTCCTGACTTTGGAGATTCTCTGGTTAGATGTGATGATAGCCCCTGCTCTTGTAGCGATACTATTCGTAGTTAATCATCACTGTAGTGAAGGGATGCCACTGTCTTTAGTGGTGTACCCACTGGTGAGTGACATGCTACAGTATGTATGCTTCCACCCATACCCATACAGGCAATCCAACCTGAAAGTTGGAGGGATTTCAGCAATAAAAGGAGGGGATGAAAACAACTAAAAGTCATGATCTACATGTAAAAGAATAAAAAATACTCTAGAAAGCGATAATATCCGTTTTAGCATTGGGTTTTAAATGATCAATATGAAAGCTACAGTCCAAGAAAGCTCCCTACACCTTGCTTTGAGGCATGTTTCTGCCATTTGTCACTCTTACAGGACACCTTGAACTGGAATCGGCTATCCTCCCTAAACTCAGAAAATTGCATGCATGTGTAAGACTGTGTCTGCTGCTTACAGATGTCTGTCTGTCAGTGTCTCACAGGCTGATGTAAACCTTTTTCTATCCCTGGACATTTGTTCTTTTATAAGAGGAAAAATTTTCAGACTGAAGAAATACAGAGAGTGGTGTTATATGAACATTGGAATTTAGATCCATAGAATTATGGATTTTATTTTCTTACAGTCAGCTAGTATGTATCTACTTCCTGTCTGTACTAACATATAATGTTTGTTCTTGATGTAGTTATAAAATATTTCTAAGTCATTGGGTGGATGGAAATGAATGTTAATATCCTATGTTAATTGACTTTGAGGATATTAACTTTTGTTTTTATTTTTTATTTATTTAAAAAATTTAGGACCCTTTCCCTTTCTCCACATCCTCTCCAGTATAAGTTGTCATTGGCATTTCTAATTTTAGCCATTCTGGCAGGAGTAAGATGGTATCTCAGAATTGTATTGATTTTCATTTCACTGATAGCTAAGGATGTTGAGCACTTTCTTAAGTGTCTTTCAGCCTTTTTGATTTCCTCTTTTGAGAATTCTCTATTCAGTTCTGTACCCCATTTTTTTTTACTAGGGTTATTTGGTGTTTTGTTGACTAGTTTCTTGAGTTCTTTGTATATTTTGGAGATCAGCCCTTTATCAGATGTAGGATTGGTGAAGATCTTTTCCCAGTCTGTGGGCTGTCCTTTGGTCTTGTTAACTGTGTGTGTCCTTTGCCTTATAGACGCTTCTCAGTTTGAGGAGGTCCCATTTATTAATTGCCAACCTCGGTGTCTGTGCTACTGGAGTTATGTTCAGGAAGCAGTCTCCTGTACCAATTTGTTCAAGGGTAACTTCCACTTTCTCTTCTAAGAGGTTCAGTGTGGGCTGGATTTATGTTGAGGTCTTTAATCCATTTGGACTTGAGTTTTATGCATGGCAATAGACAAGGGTCTATCTGCAGTCTTCTACACACTATCATCCAGTTGTGCCAGCACAATTTGTTGAAGATGTTTTCCTCCTTCCATTGTATACTTTTAGCTGTTTTGTCAAAAATCAGGTGTTCCTAGGTGTGTAGGTTTATATCAGGATTTTCGATTTGGTCCACCTGTCTATTTTTGTGCCAATACCAAGCTGTTTTCAGGACCATAGCTCTATAATAGAGCTTGAAGTCAGGGATGGTGATACCGCCTAAAGTTCCTTTATTGTACAGTGTTGTTTTGGTGATGGAAACAGAAGCAGACACCTACCGCTAAACACTGAGCTAAACTGGAATCCAGATGCAGAGAGGGAGAACAAGACCAGGCTACAGAAACCCACAGAGACAGCTGACTTGAACAAGGAGGAGCTAATGGGTCCCCAGACTGATAGCTGGGAATCCAGCACTGAACCTACTCAGACTCCCTGAACATGGGTCTCTGTTAGAAGGCCTGGGCAGTCTAAGGGACCTCTGACAGTGGAACCAGGATGTATCCCTCGTGCATAAAAGGACTTTGGGAGCACATCCCCCATGGAAGGATACTCCCTTCACCTAGAGACAGGAGGGAGGGCCTAGTCCCTACTCCAAATGACTTGAAAGATTTTGTTGACCCTCCTGAAGGCCTCACCGCACCTGTGAAGTGGTGTGGAAATGGGATGGGAGGGTGGTCGGGGGCCATGGGAGGGTGGAAGAGGGAGGGAGAAGAAAAGAAAACAGTGAGAAATAAAATAATTTTAAATAAAGAAAAAAAATTAGGTTTTGAGAGTATTGTATACTTATATTACTTGACCCTTCCTCTCTCCAAACCTAGTCACCTCCTAATCTCTTCCGAATTCATGATCTCATTTTCTATAATTGATGACTTATGTACATACATATAATATATGTAGGCACACACATATATGTTTCTAAATAAATCAATGTAATCTGCTCAGTCTGTATAATGTTATTTGCAGGCACATATTTTCAGGATTGACCATAACATTTTTGCTAAGACTATTCCTGACTTCTCAAGACTTTCATTACAATAGGAAACCTTCCTAAGTGTTGATTGACTATATTGTGTTGTGCTGTGACATAGTCTGTGTTGTGATGTGATCTGATGCTGTGATGTCTATCTGTACATCAGTGCACCTCACTAGACCCTGATCTCCTTGAGGACAGGCCTGTGTCTATAACCTTACCTTCCAGATGCCTAGAGCCTTGTCTAGCAGACAAAGTAGTGGTCAGTACGAATTTGTTGGTGTGACATTTGTTTTCTTCTGAAATAGACGCTTTATATTTCCCTTTCACTTATTCATTTCTCACTCTCTTTAGGTCCTCTCCATCTGTCCCAAGGACATGAGAGCTGACATCTGTGTTCATCTGAACCGGAAGGTTTTTAACGAACATCCTGCATTCCGATTGGCCAGCGATGGGTGTCTGCGTGCCTTGGCAGTGGAGTTCCAAACCATTCACTGTGCTCCCGGGGACCTGATTTATCATGCTGGAGAAAGTGTGGATGCTCTTTGCTTTGTAGTGTCGGGGTCCTTGGAAGTTATCCAGGATGACGAGGTGGTGGCTATTTTAGGTACTGTGAGCTTTCCTGACATAGTAACAGATGTGTCACAGTCCTGTATTTTAGCTTTTCGAGATTCTGAACAGAAATTCCCTCTGTTTGGTGACTTTAGAAATGAGGTCACTAATGAGATGATGAATTCCAGTGAAAATTGGGTGCTGTTTCAGCAAAGAACATTAGTCTCAGTCACAGCTAACCTGAAACTTAGGGATGTATTACAGTCACTTGCACAAAAGCTGACCACAGCCTAAGGGGCTTTGTACACCTTCTTTGGTAAGTGGGACTTTACTTTTGGAACTATTTTCAGATTAGCAATACAGGGAGTTGGGCTCGGAGGGCTATAGATCTATACAGTTCAGCCCCTCCCTTTAAGGAAGAGCCGGTCAAGACCCATGACTTGCCCAGTTAGTAACCAAGTGAGGGCTGAATATACATCATCCTACTCTCTATGGTTTTGCCTCATAACAGTGGGTGAATTATGAAGAAGACAGTGCTGAGGAGGCTGATGAGACTCACAGGAATGAGCACAATGGGAGGAAATCGGTTTATAAAGCTGGTCCCATCATCTTTTTTCTTTAGCCAGGGAAATTAGTTGGTTGACTATAAATTCATTCTAAAGTTCAGACATTTAGTAGGTAACGATTCCAATAGAGAAACACAAAGGAGGTAACACACCACAAACTTCACAGAATAAATAGCAACAACAACTTAACATACAGTGACCACAGTGTAGGATGCATGTTTTGATAATCAAACTCACTGTATGAGCTTCTAGATCACTTTCTGCTCAAGTACCTGCAGTAAGTACATGGAGTTCGCACAGATAAAAAAGAAGAAATGAGAGGTCAGATGGACATCAACCCTTGTGTTTGTCTCAAGTAAAATAACTTAAAGTTGCACAGTGTCAGCTCCATTTTGATCATATTTTTCATGGCTCATGTCTCATGAAAAATGAGTTCAATCTTTAAAGTATTGGATTTTTTATTTTATTTTTTTATTTTTTGCTACCGAGGTCAACCTACCATAGCTTGACTGATTCTCATAAGAAAAAAGACTGACTGGTGGGTTTTAGAAACTCCAAAGCTGCAAAGGCAAAAAATCAAAACGGATGTAGAATCCAAGGCAAAAAAAAAAAAAAAAAAAAAAAAAAGAAAGAAAAAGAGAGAGTCTGATTTCAAAAGGTGGTACAAAGGTACAATTCCTTGGAAAATACAGAATACAGAATGGAGAAGAAATGACCTTTTAGTGGAAAGAAGTTTCTATTAAAACAGTAGTAGACAACGGATTGGGACTGCAAAGAACAGAATAGTACTGTTTGCAAAGCCTTCATTTAACTGTTTGAAAATAATATTATGGCTACAGTTAAGTTTCTTGCAGGAATTATTTTTCTTTAAATGTTATTGCAAGGCACCACAACCAATAAATGTTATTGCAAGGAAATAACAGAGTGCTTGGGAACCAGTGCTGTGGGTGTACTTGACACTGCCTTTGTTTAGCCTTTGTCTGCTGTAGTATAAAGCAGGCATACTCTTTCATTAAAGCTGCCATCATCAGAACGGCCCTTTGGGGTAAAATGAAGCATATCCATGCTATGACTACTCTTGTTTGCTTAAAGAGGAAGATAAAGCAAAACCTCTGAGTAGATGCATTTGTTTTTTCCTTAATGATCTTGTCAGTAGGGGGTTTTGGGAAAAGAGACATCAAATATTATGGTATGGAAGTGAGTGTTGCAGACTCCTTGCCATTTATTTGACTTCATTTTCTTCATTTCACTACACCTTGGTAACTCCTTTAAAAGGTTGGAAAAAGCTGTGAGGACAGAGCCTCTGGCTTGGATCTGCTAAAATGGAGTCATTTGCTCAGTGAGACAGACAAAATGCATTTTCCTTCCATTTGAAAAGGAAATCTATCTGGCTTCGCCCAATGACACCATAAAAGTGAACACAGGGCCCCCAGGTTTCAGGCTAGGCTCATCATCTATCTGCCACATTTTATTTCTTTGAGTGTATATTTTCGACCTTCTCCCAAGTCTTGGAATTAAGATACTATTCATATCTAAGTTAATGAGTCAAATTATGTGGACACCCCTCTGGCAACCTTCTTCCTTTTAGTTTTTTAAAAATGGATCTTTAAGAGTGACTACTTCTGCCAAGAGGCAATTAGAGTACAATTTTTAACATTTAAGACTCCTGAACAATGCTTCAGGAGTGGAGGATGAGGTGGATGCTAGCTAAATCACCAATCACACTGGCATGCGGTGACTGTCCCTTTCCTTTCTCTCTCCTTTCTTCTTTTCCCTTTTAAATTTTTTATTAACTTACTTTGAAATAATTCAAAGTTGGAAGAAATTTCAAAACTCACCAGGTTGCACGTAATCTGTTCTCGGCCTTTGTTGTCTTTACCTCCTATTTCTTTTCCTCTCCCGTGCCTTCCACTTCCCTCCCTCTCTCTCCCCCTACTTCCCCCTCTCTTCCCCTTTACTTCCCTCCCTCCTCCTGTTCCTCTCCTCTCCCTCCTCTACCCTCCCCTCCCCACTGCCTTCTCTCACTTTCATTCTTCTCCCCATTCACTTCCCTCTTCCCTTGTAGCTTGATAAGCCAGTTGTCAGATTTTCTATAACTTCCTTCAGCAGCCTTGCTTTGGGAGGTCATTTTAAAATGCATTCAAATCTCTAGATTCAGAAACAGGTGCATTCTTAATCTTTGGGATCCTGGATCCTTTAGCATCTCTTGGGTAAGGCATTATTCTTTAGTGTGTCCAAAGTGCCAAGCAGTTTAATGAGTAAGTTCTGAAGCATAACTAATTAGAGGAAGGATAAAAATGCAGTCAACGCATACCTTCATTTTTACACTGGGGGACGGTTTCAGGATTTTTATTTTCTAAATAGGGCATATGAATATAATTGCAGTTGATGTCTTTTTCCAACTTGAAGTTCTTTTCAGTTCTTACACCTCCATGCAATTTGTGTGACCTTCCCACTTTGCATGAAGCACAAAGAATTCCAAATTAAGTTCATGATGCGTACACATTTTATATTCGTTAATGTCTTTTTACTTTTTAGTTCCTACTATATAATTACTTAACGTGAATAGATTTGTTGGTATAGTTGAAATAGCCAGGTTACTTCTAAATGTCTTGACAAGTATATTGCACCTTTCGGGGGCTGTTAAAATAGTAGCTTGCTACCAACAATAGGCCTTGCTCCTGAGATTCAAGTTTTTGTTTTATTCATATTTCTTCTTTTCACTTGTCTTCATTGATTCTTAGAATCATAGGGTTAGAATCTTAAACTAAGAAAATCTCGTTCTTGTGGTTTTCAACTTTAACTTCAAAAGAACTGGGAGCGTGTATGTAGGGCTTAGTTTCCCACACCTTAGATGAGGGGGTGGGGTGTTCTTGGGAATTTGAGAGAAGGAGGCATATGGGAAGAAAGAGGGAGGGGAAATGCATTTAGAAATATGAGGAAGTTGAGCTGGGCCAATATTTCACTTTACTTGGAATTGGTTCTTTAAGAATCATGTCTTGTAAACATTTGCGCATTTCCCGAGAAAACATGAATTCTTGTTTTCAAAATTCAAAATCTACACCTCAATTTTATTCTGAACAGAAAATGAAATCCAAAATGTGAATGGATAATATTTTTCCATTCTGAGAACTGAGAAAATGTGACATTTAGCCATGGTTATTGTTTTTCCTTGTACCCTTGCTGTTAGAAGTCAAGGGCTTTCTACCTTAGGCTTCTAGAACTAACTCTCTTTCTTCCTTGCTTTCTCTCCATATGTTCTTTTAAACAACGAACTGTGAAACATGGGGATGACCTGAATATGATGAAGACACGTATTAGTGGTGTCAACAAATTAGCTTTTTTTTTTTCTTGAAGCACATAAGTGCTGCAATTTAAATGATGCTAATTTTAATTGTTTAAACAGTATTTATGACATCTTTTATCTGGAGCTCTGAGTGCTACCTCAGACTTTCTTATGTGGCAACTATCACTAGAGATATGCAAGCACTTGTCTTCTTTGTAGTTTCAAACTCTCTCCACAGTACTCTTTAAAATAAGTCCTTGCCAAGTAAGCGAGACTGACCAGCCATTGAGCCTCATGTATGTCCATGTCTCTACTTTCCAACTTTGAAAGGTGTGTGCCAGAATGCCTAGCTTTATTTTAGGTGAGTTCTGGAGACTGCACTCAAGTACTCATTCTTGCAAGGAAAGGACTTCACAGGCTGAGTCATCTCCCAGGATTCTTCTTCGGTTCTCTCAATATCATCTTTATTAGTTATTATTATTACTGTTCTTGTAGTTTTTGTTTAAAGCTGTCACTGCCCAGTCTGTCCTCAGCTTCGACCCCTCACTCTGTCTTCTCCATCAGAGCCATCATCCTAGAGCATCATGTCCATCTCTTGGGATTTCTGCCGTTGACTTTCCAACTTTGAGGATTAAATGTTAACAGCTTGCATGGGTGATAAGGATACTAAGACTCTGCTCTCTGCCTTCCTTGTTAGCTTCAATTGTATCATGTCTTTTCTCTACTCTTTACTGAATGATACACACATGCAAACTAAAAATAAATACATAAAAATGATTATATTCTACCATATCCATAAAACTTTTAGCTTTAATGCTTATCTACTTAATTCTTTTCTTCCTTAAAATATTTCTTGATGGTACTTATAGTTTATAAATAGTCAAAGTCCATTTAAAAACAGAAATTTGAAAAACCTAAAGTTGAATATTTTTATAAATGTGTGTTCATAATAAAGCTTATGAGCTGACTGCCATGCTTCCTTATAGTGATGTGTTGGCTAGTAAATTAAGTAAATATTTATGCTTAGTATTTCTTTGTTAACATTCTGTTTTGTTCATGAAACCATTATTGAATGTGAGGTATTGAAACTCCAAATTATGCTATATTGCTGTTTCCTTCTTTTCCACCTGTCAAAGAATATTTGTTTTACATATTTATATACTCTACTACTATATATTTTTACAACCGTTATATATTTTTCAC